ATCCAGATGGGGAGTGAAGAGGTAGGAGTTAAAAGCGTTTTGCTTATGTTGTAAGAAAAAGGGCTGGTGCTTGCAAGACACTCACAATTCTTTAGCAAATGTAAGTATGGTTTTGAAGTGTTACAGCTGAGGCAATCTAAAGAGCAACTACTGCTGAAAAGTGTGTTCCTGCTCTTATTCTTCACCAATGCCAAATTTGGCATTTGCATGACCCCAGAATGAATCAGTCTGTGGAGTTAAACTGGCAAGACATTATCAGGAAAAAGAAAGAATATGCTATGTTGGCTTAGCTGCCCAACACAATATGTAGTGGGACCAGGCAAACCCCAGATGTGCGGCGTTGGGGCTGAGGAGACTGCAGGGAGGGGAAAGTGCTTCCCATTTTATTGATTTGGATGTAGCCTGAAACTGCAGCTGCAGCCCTCAGGTGATAGATGCAACTGTGTGGAACAGCTTTTTATGAAGTGCCAAGCAAGAACACTCCTGTGAGTGGTTAAAATGATTAATATGCAATTGCTCCCTAAGGCTAGGGATGGGAAACAAACCTTTCAAGGAGTCATGAAATTGTACTGGCTTTGTAATTGAGTTAGTGTCTGCAGGATGGCGGACATGCTCAGATAATGAATGGGCAGATGCACTGCTGCTCAAAGTGTTTCAGCAATCTCCAAGATTCACAGAGACAGGGCTGCTTCTCAAGTGCTGAAACAATAAATAACAGAAACAATCTACTTACAACCTGATGACATAATGAAGTGTGCACCCTATTCAGGTGATATTAATTACTTTTGAGAGCAGTGGACAGTTGTCATTATTAATGACTGTGTCTTAATTTAAGCAGGGCCATCCTGGAGCATAAGACAGATAAGGAGAAAGGCCAGGAACATCTGACACATGAATTTTAATTCTTGCTCTGAATTATAAAATGTGCAGACCAAGAATCACATCCTCTTGTGTAACACTAAGCATGCCATCAGCACTTAAATAGGTGTTTGGTCTTCTCTTGCTGAGGGTATCCAAAGCTGCCTTAGGCATATTTTGATTATGAGGGGTAGGAAATAAAGCCAGTGCTTCTGAAGTCTTAAAATGAGGTCTGAAAGATGGGGTTTTTAGCATTATTGGCTTTTATTTTTCCAGTGTATTCAAATCCCAGAGTCCACTGCAGCAAGAAAGAACTGCCAGCAAAAAACGCCTCAGCAAGTCTTACTGCGTCAGGCTAAGGAGGCGCTCAAAGTAGAGGTAGGAATTTGAAACAGTATACCTCTGAGATCACCTCACCTTCGAAGGCCATGGCACCTCAGAGCTGTAGCACCAACGGGTGATGCCGTGTTCTATTGAAAATGGAGATCAGCAGCTAAAAGTTCTGCTTTGTTTTGGTTACTCAGGGTGGCATGTCGGAGCTGAGTGATGAAGCCAGTGAGTCAGAGCTGCTGAGCCGCAGTCTTTCCATGTGGCATGGGGTCGGTCAGATGCTCTGTCGGGAAGAGCTGGATGTTCCCCTGGACTTGCATACGGCCTCCTCCGTCGGCCAGTATGAAGTGGTGCAGGAGTGTATTCAGCGGTAAGGAGGGGCCGGGTCTGTGGGGCACAGGTCTATTGTTATTCACTGCCAGTTATGTTTTTTTCACTGGCTGCTGTACAGGTCAGTCTAACATTGCAACGGGAGCACATCACTGGAACTCTCAAAGGGTTCTTAAGCACAAAGTTTCAAGGGGCAAGCCTGCTGATAAAAATTATCTCCTTAGCGATTCGGTGGAAGTTGTTCTAGAGCTGGTAGGGTTTCCCGTGCAGGCTTCAGGCCTAGAACTATTAGCCTCCTTTCAATACAGTGATGGTAGCAAGAGGCTGCAGGAACTTACTGTCATCTACAGCTCCAGGCCAGTAGTTCAGCTGAATTCTTTTCTCTGTTATTTAGTGGAGATCTGGATTTAAACAAGAGGAATTGTGGTGGCTGGACTCCACTGATGTATGCCTCCTACATTGGCCACGACACCATTGTGCACCTGCTGCTGGAAGCAGGAGTGAATGTAAACATCCCAACACCAGAAGGGCAGACGCCGCTCATGCTGGCCTCCAGCTGTGGAAATGAAAGTGTTGCTTACTTTCTTCTACAGGTGTGTATCCCATAATAAAAGGGTAAAGCCACAGTATATGGTTTAAATGCACAGGGCAGGATTCTCCACCAGTTGCAAGCGAAAGGTGCAATTTTTGAGAACAATTTGTGCTCTGTTGTGAGTTCAGCTTCCTGACAGGGATTTAAACTCTCTTGGTATCACAGCACAGAGGGGATGCAGTAAAGAACATTCTCTATTCTCTTGAAGCAAGGCGCAGAGCTGGAGATGAAGGATATTCATGGGTGGACTGCCTTATTTCACTGCACCAGCGCCGGACATCAGCAGATGGTCAAGTTCCTACTGGACAATGGGGCAAACGCCAACTGCAAGTAAGGAGGAATCTGTCATTTCATTTCTCAAGAGATATCTCTTATTTTGGGTATGGAAGCAGCAGCTGGCATATGAATGCACTCAAACACGGACAGGGAGAAGACGCCTGCTTCTGTCTTTCCTCCTGTACCTTAGGAAGTGTGGCACGCTCTGTTAGCTAATACAAGGACAGGTGACCTGCAAACTGAGCAGTGAAGTCTGCCCATGTTGCCACTGTTTATTTAACTAGATCAAGAGAAATTAGATTTACTGCTTGTTTAATTATGGGCTAAACTCTGGAAGCAAACAGGTGCAGTGCCTTCTGAACTCAAGTGCACTTCAAGTCTTTCTATTGAATTTTCTGTGTACTTGGAGTTGAGTTTCTGGGTTTTTTGAAGTGTGCAGTGCATTCCCATGCTTTGGGAACTGCCTGTACACTGATGCATACTGAATTGCCTGAGGTCAGCAAGAGGTTCTTGCTTTGTTAGCTCCTGCAAATCTGATTTTTGCCATTGAAAGGCAGATCAGCAACTGTTGCTGCGCAGCCAATAGAGTAACACTTACCAAATCTCCACTGGGAGTTTTACCAAAATAGACCAGAAGGCAGTGGAACAGCCAATACGTGGTACAGTTTGTGATCAGCTATGGGTGGAGGCTGGAGGTGCCCTGTTAGGGTATGGCAAAGACTGCCGCGTATTTCGGCTTTGATTATCCTAGTCCGTGTGTGTGTTTGTGTTCTCTCTAGGGAGCCAGTGTATGGATATACACCTCTGATGGAAGCAGCTGCCTCTGGTCATGAGATAATTGTTCAGTACCTTCTCAATCATGTAAGTGTCTAGACAGTTCTCTGTAAAGCTGAAAATCTGTGGTTCTAGGCCTCAGAGGAAGAACCACAAGTTTGACACTAGACTTCTTGTGGTGTTATGTTTGATCCTTGATGACAGCCACCTCTGCGCTGAAGTCCCAGACTTCCAGGACTGTTCTGAAAGTATCTGCTTTCTGGAGGCTAGTACTATACGTGGGCAGTGCATGAGTAGGAATGATGTCTAACTGTCCAGATTTAGCTGGATAATGTCTGAATTGGAAAACAGCTAAAGCAGTAATCTGTGTTTACAGGCTTGCATGCTTGGGCTAGTGGGTGTTTTCTGCCACCAAAAGCTTACGAGCACGCATGTATCTTAAATGATTTAATATCCCATTTAACTGGTCCAGCTTACTTCCAGAAGGAGGCAGCAATGCAAAATGTTTTTCAGATAAAACAAACTAGTTCCTTGTGGCAATGCACAACAGCCGTATACCAGGGCTGTTTGGCATTCAGGGACTGGGGAGACTGTGGATAACTAGAAAGGCAACAAGGTATTAGTGGAGCTTGGACTATCTATCAGATGTTAGCCTGTATTTCTGACGGACTTGGAGACACGAAGACAATTCTTTGGCTCCCTTGAATTTTTTTCTATAGCGCTCTCTGGTATGTACATTTTAAATATGTATTTTTTTTAATAGGGAGTAAAGGTAGATGTCAGAGATAACACTGGAGCCACAGCACGGACACTGGCTATGAAGTATGGACATACAAAGATTGTGGGGTTGATAGATTTGCATGCAGCCCCAGTGCCCAAGGTCTTCTGCAGAGGTCCAGGTAACAGAGATGCTTTAGCTTACTCATTTTAAGATAGAACCTGAAGAGAGGTGTTTAGTATTTTAAAAGTATGTTATGGGGCAGGAGGCGGGGTGGGGTGTAGTATTAGCTCGTCTGTCCTGGAAATTCCAGCATTTCTGTGAATGGAAGAGGTATGGATCCAACAATTTTTTGCCTACTGGCCCTTTTCTGACCTAGTTAAACTTTCACCCTCCCCCTTTTTAATATTTCCTTTTTTCATTCTGTTGCATTTATGGGACCAGTAGCAAGTAAAGTGGGTAAATGAATTACAATGCTACTAACAATCTTTGTTTGAACTACAGGAAAATATGAAGAGCTGAGTTCCTCAGATGAATCGTGTTCTGCTCCCCAGAGACAGAGGCCTGTTCGTAGGACCAAGGGTCCCAGCATTCATGATGGGCCCCAGGCTTTGGCTAAGATAACAGCAGTTGGAATTGGGGGAAAGAAGCAGTCTCGTTATGGTGAGAATAGCTAGAAGCCTAACTGAGAGTCCTTTGAAGTCTCTCAAATGCTTTGCAGCTATTGCCGTGCCAGCAATTTTTTCTTTTGATTTGGGATTCATGTGTGGCTTGTACAGAAACGAAGGTAGTGAATACCATCACACAAAGCTATCTAACCTCTCGTTTAAAAGGAAAACTCCTGGAACTCTCTTGTCAGGGCTGGATATTGAGGAGTGAAACATTTCTGTGGAACGAGCACTGCTCTTACCTCAGTTACTGTTTCCCTGACTCTTGAACAGGCCAGCTTCCCTTTTTGAGGTAGGCTTAAAAGTTTGAGAACCCTTATCAAGCTGATGACAAGAGGAAGTGGTCATACAGGCCAAGAAATCATTGATCACAAAAATGAGCTTGCTGCTCCTGGACATGTCAGTTTTGTCTTCCCTGATGCTTGAAATACTACTAAAAATGAGATTATAAAACCCTTGCAATAGCCTAAGAGAAAGATCGTCCCAGTTCAGATATCAACCCCTGGATACAGTGGTAATGAGTTCTGTTTTCGTGTGTGTGTAATAGCCATAGGTATTTCTCAGGCCGATTACCTAGCTGTCTAGAACAGCCAAGAATATGGACTTGAAAGCATGTTCAAAGTTTAGTTCATTCTCTTAATACAGATGCATGTTATCCCACAGGCAGGGGCTGTGTTGAAGTGATAGTCAGCTGCCGAAACAACAGTGGGATGCTACTAGTGTTTTAAAACAGATGCGGAGGAGTTGGTTTTACGGGATGTGCTTGGCTGGGGATGGGACATAGCTGGCACCTTGCTCTCTTAAGCAGATGTTTTTACCCATTGATAATTCGGGTATGAAGAGGAGAGGAAATGCTGAAAGCTGCTATTTGAGGTGCATCTCTGCTATGAAACTGTTTACTCTGATTCTTTCAGTGCAACCATCTAAATTAAATACAGCTGATGGGTGTTTGTGTGAGGGAGGCTGTAGGCATATGCATTTCTCGCGCGGGGGGGGGGGTGTCTGCTTTTTAGAAAGCAACCTGCAAGTTGAGAAGGCAGTCTCTTCTTTTGATTCTTTTCAAATCCCTGAGTAGTTGTTTTTCCTGCTGGAGCCTCCCTACTAACTTGCATCCTAATCTTTGTTTGTTCTCCCTTCCTCTTGCACACAGAGCAGGTCCCTCAGGGCTATGTTACCTTCAATGATGATGGCAGCTGTGAAGCAGATAATATCCGGAACCGGGATGTTACGTCTCCAATTAATGAGCAGGATGTGGAGAGCAGCAGCAGCAGGGGTAAGTCACTGTCTCAGAAAATAATCTGGCTTGCAGTGCACACCTGGATGTGAGACTGACCCCTTGGCTTGCGTGTTCCTTTCCCACTAAGATGCTGAGGACTGGAGTGTCTTTTGAGAAAGGACTGAGATCTGGGGTGGTTCAGGCTGCAGAAGAGAAAGCTCGGTGGGGATCTCACCAATTTGTACAAATAATCTGAAGGGAGGGTGTAAAGAAGATGGAGCGAGGCTGTTTTCAGTGGTGTCCAGTGACAGGACAGGAAGTAATGAGCACAAACTAAAAGACAGGAGGATCCCTATGAACATAAGGAAATGCTGTATTTTTTTTTACTGTGAGGGTGACTGCACACTGGAGCAGGGTTTCAGAGGGTTGTGGAGTCTCCATCCTTGGATATGGTCCTGGGCAAACCTGCTGTAGGTCACCCTGCTTGAGCAGGGGTTTGGACAAGATGAGCTCCATCACCATTCTGTGAGGCAGCACAGAGGAAGGATCTATGGGCAGTTCCTAAATTAATAAAGGATAATGTGGCTGTGCATTGGCTCTGGGCTCAAGGAAGAGCCTTTCCTGAACTTTACTGAAGTTTAGGCTTGGTAGAAATAACCTACTTTTCCACCCCATAACCAAGAGCCTCAAACATACACACTCAGCCTTCCTGTTCTCTGTGGTATGAAACGGACTTGGAGAAAGATTAATGCCTGGGATCAGACGCAATATTTCTGTCTCAGAATCATGTCGTGTCATGAGTGCTCTATATGAAGCCTTACTCTGGGTTTCTCCTTCCTTTACACCTCCAGCAGGTTTTGCTGGTAACTGTGTAGCAAAAGCAGCACTGAGCATAAGGAAGCTGAACCTCAAACTCTTTTTCCTACTCTTTTCCAGAGGATAACATTTTCTTCACCAACAACTTGACAACCATCAGGAGCAGCAGCAGCAGCAGTGAATGCCTGACCAAAGCCCTGGGAGTCAGCAGCGAAGGCTCCTTGGAAAGCAATGAGGTGGGGTTTTCAGTTTTGCTTTCTCTGCTTTCAGCTTGGTCAGTGCTGTCACCCTTCCACAGCCTGCTATGACTCTACCTCCACAGGAGGCTGTAGTACCAGGCTGGGTGAGGAAAGGTATTACAGGGACAAGAAAACCAATTTCCATATTTGAAGATTATGGATTGGCTTGTTTGATCTCTGGCTAATAGCCAGCTCTCAGAGTGTGTTCATTCTAGAACAGGTTGTTGATGGCTGATCAGTAATTTTTAAGTTCTCTCCAGCTCCTGAACTCTTTGCAGACTTCTAGCTAGGTGGTGGTCAAGAAAGATGTGACTTGCTAGAGCTGCGTCAGTCCTTGAGCTTAGTGAGATAGCAGGCAGTACAGTAAGATTTAGAGAAGCACAGCAGTATTTAATTGTGTTGGCAATTCTGAAGTACAGAAAGGGGAGGAGGTTGGAGACTACGCCACGGTTCAAGACACAGTTCTGGGGTTGATATACAGAAGGGTCATATAACAAACATGAGCAAGAATCCTGTGTATCTTGAGGAGCTTCACATAGGTGGAATCTCAGTGCATGGTATTTGTTCAGGGAGGATTCAGCATTGCTCTTTACTCTGGCTTGCTCTGGGATATTGCTTCCTAAGCTAGGGTTGCAAGAGCCTGGTATTATTAAAGAAGGGCAATGGAGCTGGTGAGGGGTCTGGAGCACAAGTCTTACGAGGAGCAGCTGAGGGAACTGGGGTTGTTCAGTCTGGAGGAGAGGAGGCTGAGGGGAGCCCTCATCGCTCTCTACAACTACCTGAAAGAGGGTTGTGGTGAAGGGTGTGTTGGTCTCTTCTCCCAAGTAATGAGCAATAGGACAAGAGGAAATGGCCTCAAGTTGCGCCAGCGGAGGCTTAGATTGGATATTAGGAAAAATTTCTTCACTGAGAGAGTGATCAGACATTGGAACAGGCTGCCCAGGGAGGTGGTGGCGTCACCATGACTGGGGGCATTCAAAAAAACGTGTAGACGTGTCACTTCAGGACATGGTTTACTGGGCTTGGTGATGTTGGGTTGAAAGTTGGATTTGATCATCTTAAAGGTCTTTTCCAGCCTTAATGATTCTGTGATTCTATTCTATAATTTCATGATACCAAGCTGCTATCTTGGGAGTGACTTGACTCAGCCCTTCCTAATAAGGGCTTTGTTAGCCTTTGCCCGTGTTTGTGGATCTAGAGCTCAGGACTTGAAGGAGTCTGTACTTGCTAGCTGCAGTGATCCTGACATCTTTGTATGATGGTCCTCAACCTTTGCATTTTGTGGTTTTTTTCTTTCTTTTTCAGGATTCTGACCATGCAAACAGTCCGCCTAGTCGGAAACAAGCCAAGAGCTTTAAGGTCAAGAACCGCTACAGCAACAGTGATGGCCAGTGGACCCATTGCGCAGGGAAAGCTGGGGGCTCTAGTCAGCACCTAATCCTTCCTGAGCCCCCTGCCTATACAGGGCCCCAGGTAACTTAAACAGAAAGTTGTCTCTGAAGTAATACAGACTGTATCACTGTATCAAGCATGGGAAGTTTTTCCAAGGTTGCCTAAGCCGCTTTCTTTGCCTTCTCAGATAAAAAGGAAATTGTCACCGTAACACATTTGGTTCCAAACCTCTGCCCAGACTTAAATGCTTGTGAAACAGGAATTTCTTGTACAAAGAACTGTCTGCTTAGGTGTTACTGTTGCTTGGAGGGCTATTCTAGACCCTCAGGCCTGTGGATGTGCTACCAAACATGGCTGTGGTGGGGGCTAGGGTAGATGTTGGTGTGTCTTTCTGTGCATTTGTTACAAAAGGCAATGGCTGCAGCAGACAGGCCAGTCCTGTTGTGTTGGGTGACTACGGAGAAGGGTAGTTAACCCAGGCAGAGTCATGATTGCTGCTAGAACCCAGGAAGGCATAACAGCGACATGAGGAAGCAGATATTTATGATGAAGGGGCATGACAGTGCTTTTGTTTGTAAAGATATAAATGAGATGGTGTTTTTATTCTGATGGGCTGCAGGACCTAGCAACATTCCTTGAGCAGATTGGGTGTCTGAAGTATCTGCAAGTGTTTGAGGAGCAAGATGTTGACCTCCGGATCTTCCTGACACTCACAGAGAGTGATCTGAAGGAAATAGGCATCACGTGAGTGTCTGTAATGTAGTTGTCACCTTTCCCCTTACAAACCATGCACACAAACTGATCAGGAAAGTTGAGCTAGTGAGTGCTTTTCTGTTCTGGCTGTCTCCCACACAATTTTGACATCCCTTAGTTCTTGGCTACAACAGGCTCCTGTTTTTTTGGAGGTGCCTTGGAGGACCCAGGAGACTGCAGAGAGCCTCATGGCATCCCATTGGGCCTAGGGGCAGATAGTGCAGTGTTTGGTCCCTGACAGTTTGCCATTCTCCCACCAGTCTGTTTGGACCCAAGAGGAAGATGACTTCTGCCATTGCCCGATGGCACAGCAACGCTCGGCCGCCCAGTGATGCCCTGGAGCTGGCCTACGCGGATCGGCTGGAGGCTGAGATGCAGGAGTTGGCCATTCAGCTGCACAAGGTCAGAAGTCTGCCATGAGCTGCTCAATGCCTTGTCACACTGCAATAAGTGATCAGTAGCATATTTTTACATTGTGCCACTAATGGTCTGGGGTGAAGGAAAAAGCATAACCTCCAGTGGACACACTTGCTGTCAAGTAAATCCCGTAACATCATACGTGCAGCTTATCCACTGCTCATTGTCTGTGCTTGTGAAGCCTTTATGTCTCTGTTTCCCATCCACCTGAGAACTAAGAGAGCAAGTGGGAGGAATTGAATACCTACTCTTTCAGTAGCGTCATTTTTATGATGAAGTTGTGTGGCCATTAGTGAACAGACATCCGTGGATTTGGGAAACCAGGCCCACTGAATATCTTTGTGAATGGAGAGGAAGGGGGAATTGTAACTGTGGGGCTGGTCTTGGTGTGGAGAGAAACTGTATTTGGTGTACAAGCCTTGTCCAGCCTCCTTTCCCACTGGCTTGGGTGCACTTTTGCTGGAGCCTTCTAGCTGCTGAAGCCATTAAAATAGGGATTCCAGGGATGTGTCAGAGCAGGCACATGTAAATGGTGTACAATACTCCCAGCCTAATCCTCTGTTCTGCTCTGCTGTAGAGGTGTGAAGAGGTGGAGGTGATGAAGGGTCAGGTGTCCCAGGAGCAGAAGCTGCGTGCAGTGGCTGAGAGCTGTTTGATGGAGCGGGATGAGACCTGGAATGCTATCCAGTGCCAGCTCAGAGAGGCGCAGGCCATCACCAAGGATGCTGGAGTCCTACTGGATCAGATCAAGTAAGTCAATCCCAGGAAATGTCACTGAGGCTACTGGGAAACGGGATTTGGGCTGTACAGAGATCATATTGGCAGTCTTACAGGTGATGCTTAGGGTGAGGCAGGAGAGCTCACCAGGTGTGTGAACCTATTCTGGATCCTGCCTGACATAGTGGCATGCCACAACCACGCAAGCGGATGTGAAGCCTGAATCAGATGCATGAGCTGTAAATGTCCTGCCTTTTCAGAGATGCTGAGTGCTCCTGTTTCAACCAGAAGGTGAAGGCACTCAGCTCCCTTGGAACCAAAAGGCTAAGTGCTTTGTGCTTATGTGAGACCCAGTGACCAGGGTATAACTTGGTGATGGGGTGAATGCAGGAAAGAGTTTCTAACTTCCAAACTGTATCAAAGGACTTGCAATGTCCTGCCCTGGCTAGTGAAGAATACTCTTCTTGCAACTCTGACACCTAACAGAAAAAAACTGCCCTGTTCATTCACACCACTGCCTTTGAGTTCTGTGTTCCCCCCACCTCCCAAGATAGCTTTTGCTGCCTTTGTGGTGCTTTTCTCCCTGCCCTAGTTGGACTTCTGTCATGGGCCTTGTTCTGTCCACTGGCAGTACAGACGTCCTTGAAGGTGGCATTAACCCTAGCCCAACAGAGAATGGGGCCCACCCACTGCCAAGCCAGGGTGAGTTAGGGCTGGCTTCCAGAAGGACAGCAGAGCAATACTCCCAGCTGCAAGGGGCAGAGCACTGGTCTTTTCTCCCTGACTGAGGAGCTGAGGCTGCCCAGTCAAAGGGCCCTGCCATGCTCTGAGGATGCACTGAACCAACAGTGTGATGATGCTACCCAGTGGATTTTGTGTGCCTCTTGCTTTAACCTGATGCCTGTCCTAAGGTCCCTTCATTTGCCCATTAGAAACCTTGGATAAGGCTTGATTCTCGTATAAACCAGGTGCAGCCCCTGGCTTGGGCTTTCTCCTGCTCACCCTGCCCCCTCCTTCTCTTCTCCCCCCGCAGCTCCTCTGTGGACAGGGGCAGAGATTGCTGTGGAGATGGGGCACAGTGGAGAGCGCCCTGAGCTTTGTCTGGGGCACGTCTTCTTCCTGGGAAGGAACAAGGAGCAGTTTGTTACCCAGGGCGTTAGATGCGGTCCCTCGGCACCCCAAGCAGGTACTTGCAGGATGTAGGAGTGCACAGACCGGCATGTTGTTCCAAGAAATGTCCCTGTGCACTGCTGATGGGCTTTGTCTTGTTTGGCAGATCCTGTCAAGCAGAGCTGTCCTCCCGGCTAACCCAAGAGAAGGCAGTCAGCAGAGGGCTGGATGCAAAGGTGCAGCTGGGAACCGGTGAGAGCAGGCGGCCTGGTGAGCGTCCAGGTGAGGAGGAGCTTATCAAACTACAGACACGGGTGCAAGGGGTGGGTAAACAGCAGGAGACCCCAAAGCAAGCCCTGTGCTTGTCAGTCTTTACTGAAAGGATGATGTTAGAAGTGATTTGGAAATGGATGAGCAGCCAAACACCTAAACTTAGTTTAAAAATTCTGGCTCAGGGAAAGCATTTAAAGCACTTGGGGCATTTGGACTTTAACTGCAGCAGAGTTTCTCAGCAGCTTTTGATTCTTAGCAAGTGGGAAGTTTTGGGATGTGGCAGGTGTGTGTGGCTAAAAACACAAAGCTGTAACACAGGCACCCAGGGGCAGCCCTGCTTCATGGGCCTGTGGCGGCTTCTTCCTGTGCTGCAGCGTGTGGGTACCTTGGCTGTGCTAGCGCACAGTGTGCTAGAGCACGGTCTGAATCGGAAGCCATGGCTGGCTCCCTGACCCAGTCTGGGGACTGTGCTGTCCTGGAGCAAACAGCTGTACATGGCTGGACAGCCTTGGCCCACCAGCTCCTAATCACGAGGAGTTAGCAAGTGATCCTGATGCCCATGATGTGCTTCCAGAGATGTGCTCTTTGCTTGTGTTTTAAAAGTGAAACAAGTAGAGGTCCCGTTGATTTCTGTCTGCTACCCTTAATGTCTTTGAGATTCTTTCAATGTATGACCCAGCCAGTATTAAATGTTCTTAAGTGGTAGAATTGCCAGAAAAAAAACTTGGTTTGTCACAGGCAGTTCCAGCTCTCTTCCCATGTGACTCAGAACCCCTAACTGGAGCTGCTTTGGGTGTGGATGCTTCACAGCAACACCAAACCTTTGTATCTACTGTGTTGCAGAGAGTGTGCAGATTGATTAAGTGTGTGGTCCCTCTTTCTTGCAGTGCTGGAAGGATGGCCACCTTCCTTGAAGTCTCTGAGCTTGCCAGAGCTGTCAGCTGTCCTAGAGCAGTGTGTGGGAGAAATGGGTAAGGTGTAGAAGGACTTTGGTCACGTGAAACGACTGTTGTGCTGGGGGGGAGGCATGGCTGGGCAGGTTTTTCATGATTTGGCAGCAGTAGCTCGGAGAGACCTGATAATCCCCTCTCATTCTGGGAAGTGTCTGGCTCTGAAGTTGGTTCTAGCATTTTCCTGCACTTATTCTCGCTGCAGACCTTGGGCTCTGCCTCATCCTCTGCTGACAGGTCCAGGTTGAGAGAAGGGGGTACATAGTCTCCTCCATTTCTCCTGCTGAGTGGTCAGAGCTGCTTGTGAATTGGTTCCCAAAGCCTGTTCTGATGATGACAGGAACTTGTCCCAGCAACAGTCAGAGGGTAGAGACACTCCTGGTTTTGGGGCACTGGAAGCTGCAGGGGAGAGGGCAGCATGAAGACAGGGTAACAGTGGCTGAATGTGGACTGCAGCCTGTTTTTGCTGGCCTATGCTAACACCGATTCTTGGGTTTTTTTTGTTCGGTTTGTCCTCAGGAAAAGCTTTGCAGACTGTGACTCAAAACCTCCAAAGGCTCCAAGCCCCGGGGCAGAGCGGGCAGAGCTGGCTAGAGCCATAACAAAGCAGGAAGGTGAGTGGGAACTAGTGACAGGCACGGGGGGCTGTGGCATTGAGGGGAATATCACTCCTCGTGGTAAGTAACAGCCATCTGCTTGTGCCCAGTGCTGGCTCATAGCCTGCATGCTGAGACTCTACTCTAACTAGTCCTTATGTGCCCTCTTGTTGGTTTTCCCTTTGGAAAATCCTTAGTCCCCTTGTCCCTCTGCCCCACGGAAAGGATGACTGTCCTTTTTCCCGGTGGCTGCAGGAATACTGACGTCGGGTGACTGTTCCACCCGGAAGCTGAGTGTGCCTGGGAGAATGAGCGCGAGGGCTGTGCTGGCAGCACCGCAGCTCTGCTGAGAGTGCCACAGCAGCTGGCAGATGCGTGGAAGAAGGTCTCGGCCATCAGAGAACATGCCTGGGACAACGAGGGACAGCAAAAGACAGCATCCCAGCAGCTCTTTGGGCCTGACTGTTGTCTGGGTTCCCAGGATCACTGTTGTTCATACCAAAAGGTTAGGTTAAGAGGAGAAGCACTGAGCCCAGAAGTTTTATCTGCCCTAAGCTTCCTGCAGCCCTTATTCAGGGCTGTGTGGTGTTAGAAAGTTGGCAGTTACCCACAGCAATCAATTCATCATCCTTTTCTGCATCCCATCCTCCTCAAGGCCTCTGACAATTGCCCTGGCCCCTTCTATGCCGTGTGGATTGGTATTTGCTCAGGACTTGACCCTGCAAATGTATCTGAGGCAATAAGGAAGGCAGGCTTGTTGTGGCTGGGTAAGGTGAGTAGAGTTTGTAATGTTTGGTGTTTGGCTCATTGAGCTGCAGTGAAGCTCGTGCAGCCCTAATCTCTGGCTGGAATGCCTGCCCTGCTGCCATCCCAGGTCTGTGCTTCAAAACCTCTCCAACCAGCCCACCCTGGTTCGGTTCAGAGTCTTGCCCTCCTCAGGGGTTGTTCGTGACCATGTTATTCAGTCCCAAAGAACCCGTTTTGGTGGTAAATGCTTTATGGCAGAGACTCTGTCAGTCTGGTTTGTCAGTGCCAAGATCCCAACACTGACAGTGGTTGCAAGGCAGATGTTCCCCTGGAAGGACATGAGAGAGCAGGAAGAGCTTGAGACTGTTCGGTCTCCTGTGCCTCTGGCAAGCAGTGGAGTGCCAAGGAAGACAGAACAAGAACTCGAGGGATGGATCTGTCCCACATGGGAGATGGGTAAAATAAATCGCATCCCAGATGTAGCTGTGGTGCAAAGCTTTGGCCCTCAACCGCTGCCTGCCTTTGGCTTCCAGGCTTTAGTGTTTGGAAATAGTTCTGCCAAGGCATTCTTGCGTCGGCAGTGTGGGAGTCTTCAAAGGGCAGACGAATGGTGCAGGAAGAGGCTGCCTCCGTGGAGAGACTGCTCCATCTCTTGGAGCTGGGCAAGCAGCCATAAGGGCTCTGACAGTTACATTGATGTAAAATCGTTTCCAGTGACTCTCTGTTCCTCTGTGTTGCTGAGTCCTGGGGCGGGGGGGCGGAACGGGATGACAACAAACAAACAACAAAACCTGAAGTCTGAGAGTGATGGGCTTGAGTCTGGAAAAGTCTCTTTGGGAAGAGGAAGAAACTGTGTGTTCTTGCTGATGTGTTTTTTTAGGGGGGGAAGGGGGGACCTTGACCACAGATGCCAAAATACAAAAATCCATTCCAACTCTATCTTTTGAGCTAGTCCCCCCCCCCCCCCTCCTCCACATGCTCAGGACCACTGAGGCAGGCTTGAAAGCTAGTTTGCATTTGGTAAAGGTGACATCTCGTTTGACTGTCCCACCAAACTGGTGTATCTGTGCTTTTCTGCTGGCAGCTTGTATGTGCTCAGCTGTGGGGTGCTGCTTTCTGCTTGTGTTTAACTCTTAAAAAACCAGTGTGCCATGTTAAGTTTATCTTTAGCAAATAACATGGGTGTATGCATGTGAACATCTGGCGCTAGCTGTGCAGCAGGCAGTGGGACAAGGCTGCAGGAGATTTCACCCTGAAGAATTGGTTTTGAGGTGGAGCCAATTCCCCTAAGGCAGCATCCCTGAAAGCTTCTCAGAGTGGTTGCTGGGAACAGTATTTTGGGCTTTGTCCTTCATTCCTGGTTGCTGGAGGAATGGTGGGGAGCACGAAGGCAGTTTGCACTGCCCTCTCCTCAGCCTTGGCCATGTCACTGGCTGCACTAGCACAGGATTGTCAGTGCTGTGTCCCTTAGAAGCCTGGACCTGAATTTAAGGCAAGATGTCTGTGGGGAAAGGGGAGAAGTTTTTGCAGAAAGAAAAAAAAAATCAAACCCCAGTGGAAAGGCCTGGGAGCATCAGGAGAACAAGGGAAGCCCTGGCTCAGCAGTGCCTTCAGAGCTGGGTAGGCTGTGCAGGAGAGGGGGTGGCTGAAAGGAGAGACTACAGAGACTTGCGTCTGGCTTTGCTGGGTCATGGAGTGGAAGAAAGGGGTTTTTTGCCGAGTAAGATGGCACATACAACAGCTTGTAATGCTTGGGGGCCTGGGAAAAGGGCTAGGGGAGAGATGCAGCAGTACATATGAAGGAAAAGGAGAGCCCCACAGAAAAAGTGCTGCAGGAGCCCAGGTGTAAAGGCTCAAAAGGGTGCTAGAGTAGCCCAAGGGAGAGGATTTTATAGAATAGTTTCTTGGAGGAGGCAATCCCTTGAATGGAGGACTTCAAACAGCGTTTGTTGCTGAAAGGGTGGCTGCATGAGCAGCAGGGAGTCTGGTGCTACCCTAAGGCAAGCTGTCCGAATAAAATAATATTTGCTGACTTGGATAAAAATAATAAAAACTGGAAACCTGTTTCTGGTGTGTGGGTTTCTCTGGAGGGAGCTGAGCTTGTAGAATCACAAATAACCTCACTGATACAGTCCTTCACAGCTTCTCCCAGGTGGTCACAAGTGGGGCAGTCTGGGGCTGCCTTACCCACAGCTTCCCAGCCCTGCCTGGCTCCTGCTGGAGGTGATGCCCTTGCCCCAGTGCTGGTAGCTGCTGGTAATAGCTGATGTGGGAGCTCAAGGGCTCAGGCAGTGCCAAAACCACGGAGGAAGATTGTGCCTAAGTAACGAAGTGTGTGCTCCTCCCGAGCTTCTGCTCTTCCCTCCTGGGCTGGGTGCTGCCACTTTAGCCCCCAAAAGGTCCTAGCTGCGTGACAAAAGTTGTCTCTGCACGAATTTAGAACTTGTTGAGTTGCCTACTGCGCTTTTGCTGTTGGGATGAAGTACTGATCTTGCGCCTACCTCCTTGGTCAACTTCTGACCTGTCACCAGAGGCAGGTGGTTCAGAGGACACCAGTCAGCAGCTCTCAAAAACTTTTAAATGGGGCACCATAAAAATCTCTTTTATGTGTGTTTTGGGTGGCTGTTTGTAGTATTTATCACCGTCATCTTAAGCGTGTTGTCTTGTGTTACCTGTGATGTAATCCTAGGGAGGGGAAGACGGGGCTACCTCCAGCCAGGGCCTCTGGGTCAATACCCCTATGACTGGCAGTGTGTGTAGAATCACAGAAGGGTTCGGGTGGGAAGGGACCTTTCAAGACCATCCAGTCCAACCCCCTGCAGTGAGCAGGGACATCTTCAACCAGAGCAGG